CTGCAAAGCGTTTGGTCTAGAATGTACTGATGCGATAGGCTCCTCAACGATCCCTACTAACCTATGCATAGAAACACATTCAATAAGCTGATATCACAAGCTCAATGCCACAAAAAAACTCTGCAATATTACATGCATATATTATATGAACATATCGGTGCGTATAGTCGTAACATGCATGATAAACAGACAAACATGAGATAGGCCCGATAATATGGTCGGAGGTATTTACGTGCATCTCGAACAACATACCAACCTATCTAAATGTGATAGCTTTAGGGTAAGAACATAATGCTAGAGTAACTCAGGTGTCTTGACTATTTCCCGAGCATCATACAAAGAAAAATCTTATGTCATCCTAACTTGCTTAATTTTTATGTGATAATTTAGTTAAATTGATTGTTTTCACTTGAATAAAATACTTGAAGCTTCTAGGAACCCGAAACACCCAAGCCTGAATACCCAAATAGATTAAACTAGAATTACATGAAAATCACCAAGGGTATCGATATTGTACCAATAGTATCGATACTAACCTATGGTTATTTATACTCAGGGTAGTTTCGATACCAAAATTATCTTTGATGTTTTCAAAAATACCTCAGTATCGATACTCATGTGGGGAGTATCGATACTCTAACATTGGTATCGATACTCTCATGAGTATCGATACCAAAATTGTATTTTAGAATCCTAAACTTACCACCCATATCGATACTACCCTCTGAGTATTGATACTAGACCCTGAGTATCGATATTACCTTTATAAATTGTCTTATTTTTACCTTTCACGAAGTACAGTATCGGTACTGTTCTTTCAATACCAATACTGATAGACCCAAGTGTTTTGTTTTGAGCACAAAATCACACCCAAAACTCACCTATTCGCTCCTCTAAGATTTTCTAAAGTTTTTAAAGTCTTATTTGATGTCTTAGAGGTCAAAAGTACCATTTTTTATGCTTACAAACAATAAATACGAATCTTTCCATGAAATTTACTCTAGTATGCTTCATGAACTAAACAAACCATAAATGCACATATCATGACCTGCATGTGGTATGGTAAAGTTAGAATCGTGTTACCTTGAAGCTAGGTGACTGAAAAACGTCATTGAATCACCCAAGAGTTAGCTTCTGCTCTCCCCTTGCCTTAGAGCTCTCACCATTCTCTTGCACTAATCAAAACCATAGAAACGAGTTATTAACTCATTTTGGAACTTAGAAAGGTGTTAAAAACAATCTTACAACTCAAAGCTCTCTTATAAACGGATTAGAAACTTACAGTTCATAAACCCCACTAAAACACATCTTGGAAAAACTAAGCCAAATATTACAAATGGGGACTTGAATAAAGCTTGGAAGATGAAGATTGTAAATCTTACCTTGAAATTTCTAATTGAAGCTTAAAACTCTTGAAGTTTCCAACTTTTGCTTGGCTCTTGAATAGGAAATAAGATAGAGAGTAGAAAAGAAGAAGATAAGCTGTTGGGTTATGGGGTCCAACGATCACCCTTAGGAATTTTATCGTATATGAGCGTGATATCAGTACGTGACTGTCCAACCTACCGAGGCCCACGTGTGCCTTGCGAAGCCCCTAGGCCCGCCCACAGCACGCTATAGATGCGGGGCTTTGCAATGCCGTGGTGAACTGTGGGGGGTGCCCCACAAGAATCCACCTTGGCTTGGGGAAACCCAGTGATCACCCACTACAAAGATATGAGGTTAAAATGGTTTACCTACTTATCACTAATTTGTTTTAAGAAGGAATGGTGATCATTCTCTTCAGAACTCTGTATTTAAGCATGCTTGGACCAGAGAAATCTAGGGATGGGTGACCCACTGGGAAGTCGTTTAAAAATGAATGACTCGATCCTACAATTGGTATCAGAGCAAGTTACAGGTTCGAATCCCCTAGGTGTCACTGGGGGTGATTGTTGGGTTATGGGATCCAACGATCACTCTTAGGGATTTTATCGTGTATGGGCGCGATATCGGTACTTGACTGTCCAACCTGCCGAGGCCCAACGTGTGTCTTGCAAAGCCCCTAGGCCCACCCGCAACACGCTATAGATGCAGGGCTCTGCAATGCCGTGGTGAACTGTGGGGGGTGCCCCACAAGAATCCACCTTGGCTTGGGGGAACCTAGTGATCACCCACTACAAAGATATGAGGTTAAAATGGCCCACCTACGTATCACCAATTGGTTTTAAGAAGGAATGGTGATCATTCGCTTCAGAACTCTGTAGTTAAGCGAGCTTGGACCATGGAAATCCAAGGATGGGTGACCCACTGGGAAGTTGTTCAGATGTGGTAAAAGGAGATATCATAAACAGACGTGGGATCATCCCAAATTAATGGAATTCAACATTTGGTTCAAAAATTGGGATAATTGCTCACATACTCTCTCAACATTTGGGTCAAAATTAAAACACCCTTTCTAAAGCTTGTTGGGCTCATCTGAAGCCCAACTCAAATCTATTTGGGTCTAAAGCTTCATGGGTTAAAGGAGATCATCCTGAGGTCTAAATCGAATGTACCCAAAACTCCTAACCCAGAATTTGGGATGTTTCAATCAGTTCCTCCACAACCATTTCCTTCATTTTATACTTCAGGTAATTCTTGAAGTCATTACATCCGAGAGGTAGTTTTTCAATAATATTTGTCACCTGGAATGATTCACTTATGACCATTTTTTAGCAAGATTTCCATTAACAATTACTTGGAGTTACTCCACTTGATTTACTACTAGTTTGGAATCAACCGTAGTATACATTAAGAATTTGACAACTAAAAACTTTTTAACTCTTGCATCTTCAGATTGATATTTGTGGTTCAATGTCTCCCACAATTTCTTTGTAGTTTGATAACCAAAGTACACTAGATACAATGAGTCCTGTAATAAACTATTTAGGATATAGTTTCGACATATGAAGTCTGAATATTTCCAAGCTTTAATCATATTGAAGGCGGTAATCTTTTCAACCTCTCCTTCTCATTTTCCCTCTTTAAACACATGACGATCTTCCTTCAATAACTAAGCATAGTTCACTATGGTCATATAGAACACATCTTTTGCAGCCATGTCTTAAAATTCCACCCAAAATTTTATCGATCTCTCGTTGTGGTTAACTGTCATTGTCGATTGATTTATATTCATATTTGAATTCTGAACTAGAATCATTATTTTTGGTATCCATGCTAGGTAACCTGTTGAAGTTTGTTGTATCCATTTTTATGTAAAACAAATGGAGCCAGAATTAGTAATAATTCCAATAAACAAAAATTTAATTCTCATTTATTTGTAATTTTGTTAACGAACAGAATCAACAAAATTAGTAACCAATGTTACTTCAACGATAATTTTTGTTAACACATATTTGTCCATTTTAAGCAAACCCGTTAAAATGACAATATAAATCATGAAAACAAACTAATTTGTTTTTCACAATTTTCTCAAGATTTTCGAATCACCTTGGATGATTTCAAAAAGGTAGAAGATAGAATATGTCTTAAGATTGTTACAAGTATAACAATTCGAGACGAAAAAATAGATTTTTTGTATTAATAAATAAAGAGTACAATTTATAATAAAAACCCGAATGTTGACAAAAAAGAGATCTGGAAACTAGTTGAAGTCTGTAGCTAAACAGTTTCCTTAAGATAGATGTTCGACCACTCTTTTGTGCTTGAGAACTTTGGTCGTCTGTCTCCCAGGATACAACAATGAGATGATCAGCGTACAATAGCACAACTGTAGAGATCACGAACTATAACTTGCATGAGGCCATCACCGAAAACTAGAGAAATTGAAAAGAATTTTTGAGTTATGTTTAACCTTGTAGGTTTACACGATAATTATAGAGTTTCTTATAGGAGAAGAATTAAAAATATATATATTATGAAAAACAAAGTCATTAATGAGTATCCGAATGAATTTGGAAGTAACCAATTAATATCGCATTTAATAAAATATTTTCGTGAACTACAAATATACATATTAATATTCAGATTTAAGAAAATCATATATTATCCTTTTTAATTCAGAACATTTAGAAAGATATTCTCACATTTAAGAAAAAATATTTAATTTATAATGAGAGTAAAACATCCGTAACCCCCCCCCCCCCAAAGTCGGCCTGATCTAGTTATTTATGTTGCCCACGTTAAAAGCAAGCGCACCCTCAACCTCAATGGATTCTACTATGAGCTTAAATTTGTACATCACTACACCTATTCAAAAGGTACAATATCAACCCATGCCATTCAAAGATTAATAAATGGGTTGGTCTATATAAACAATTCTCATGCTTATTATCCCATCAATATGGGATCTAAAATTTTCTATTTTCCCTACACAAGATAATTCATATGTACTTTACTTTAAGCATCAATTTATTATTCATCACTTAATCATTTTGAACATATAAGATATCGTTATAAAGATATTATGAAGTATAGTATGAATCAATAAATTCATTACTCGAATCTCTATTTTTACCGTTATAAAATATGCCTCAAAGTTCTCAATTTATCACAACTTTTTCAACATAGAAAGTGAAGGTCCTCGCTAATGTACGGATATCACAAGTATTATAAATAATTATTTATGTGGATGTCTATTTTATTTATAAGATAAGATTTTAATATACAATATTTGAATTGATATTTTTATATACGCTATGGTAATAATATTGTTAATTAGATTAGGATTTAAAAGTAAATAAATTTTAATATTTAATAGAAAAACAAAAGCCATGTATGGCCAAAACACCACCGAGTAACAAAGCTCAGATTCTCAATACCGACAAATGTCCATTTGTTTTGCTTACGAGAGCAATTTGGATAATTGTCCTCCATGTATTGCATGGCTGCCACGTTTCCTCCTTTCACCGTCGACGCGGTTGCAGAACTTCCACGTCTAATTTCGATTAATCATACCCGATTTTCATGGGATAGCAGCATCGCAAGATCCACCCTGCCATGGGTATTATATTAATCAATATGAAGGAATTAGAAAAGGGCAATTTCGGTGATGATGGAAACAACGAAAGGAAAGTCGCCGGCGCAGTTGGGAGAAGAAGGGGTTAAAGAGATGAGAGTAATGGTGGGTATTGACGAAAGTGATGAGAGTTTCCATGCGCTCCAATGGACCCTCGACCACCTTTGTGGTCGGATCACTGGCACTGCTGCAGCTAACCAGGATGGTTTGCGGCTCATAACTCTCAGCCTAGTTCATGTTCACCAGGGTTTCCACCGACTCTATGTTCCTGCTGGACCAGGAGGTACAGGTATCTAACACCCCTCCTCTCCTTAACACACACACACACACACACACACATATATATATAATTATTGTGTTTTTCAAGTTTCAACAGCGTATTACATACCAGCTTCCGTTGAGGAATCAATAAAGAAAGGTCAAGAACAGATTTCCAAAGCATTACTCTCCCGTGCATCCTATCTGTGCAAAGATAGACCGGTATTGAACTGCTCGCATATACGGTTTTCATTAATAAAAGTAAAATTACATGCATTAGATGCATATAATTTTGGGTGCAGAATGCTGCAGTGGAGACTTTGATATTTGAAGGGGACCCCAAGGAAAAGATATGCCGAGCAACCCAAGAAATGCATGTGGATCATCTTGTGGTAGGCAACCGGAACCTCGGAAAGATTAAGAGGTGATTCATTTTTCCATTTTCTTTTGGCATAACCATTGGTATCTTTAATTGTCGACAAACTTTTTTAAATGATATTATATTTTCAGAGAATACTTTTATCAACGTCAATAGAGATTTCCAAAGACTCCACTCTTTGGGTAGATTTTTCATAATTTTCTTAGAGACATTACATTATTTTAAAAATTATATCTCTATATCTTCAGTATTGGACGCTATTTTTGATAAAGTTAAATTTGATAATTGACATCTATATTTCAATAGTATGCTAGTTTACTAACAGACATGCTGACTCTAGATCTGACGCCAACCTTTAAAAATTCATCAAAACACATGATAGAAAGATGCTCTTTTTTCTTCCACTCTCTCACTTACACTGTTTATTCCATCCCTTTCTTTACACAAATTAACCCTGATTCACATTCGAGTTTCATCAATTGTGATTTGTGATTTTTTTCTACTAAATCAGAAGAGGTGAATCGTAAATTATCAATCACCTACCGATAAATTTTAGTAACATAAATATATCATATATGATTGGATCATGATATTTCATGCTAGTGTATCATTGTATCGACGGGTCTCGTATTTAAACGAGCCATTTTAATGTTTATCAATGGAATCATGTGATTTGATGATGTGGTAATGGTGAGTTTGGTTGCAGAGCTTTCTTAGGCAGCGTGAGTGACTATTGTGCACACCATGCCAACTGCCCCGTCCTTATTGTAAAGCAGCCATCGAAAGAAGTAAGCAAGTGAAAGGCTAAATGCAGTGGTGAAGGTCCCACTTGAGTTTTCTTCTCACTTAGAAATGTGTTTTTTTCCCTTTTTTTCACGAGGATAGAATTGGCACCACTTGACTACAATTTTTTTTTAACTTTCTGTCCTTTGGCGGTTAAGCAACAAAAGTCCATGAGCAGCATTTCCATTCAATTAGCCATTTGGTAAAAAAAGGACAAATTAAAGAGATTGATAATGCTACATGTGGATAAACTACACGCATGGTAGTAATTTTTTATTTGACTATAACATAATCATTATCCTAGATAATCTCTTTCTCTTAAAAGAGAATTACCTAATATTAAATAAATAAATAATATAATATTTGATCTTTTAATGCCATAATTTTAAATTAATAAATAATAATTTTATTTAATCTTTGAATGCCATTTCCTGAAGGCTTTTCATAAGGAATGTCTTTGGTTTGACGGTAAAGTTTTGCACTCTCGTCAAAGAAGGATATAAGGTGGTGCAGCATATAGTGAGAGAGTCCTATCCATGACCCATACAGATCTCCGAACATGCCTCTATAGTTTGTCAAACTTTAACTCTTGATCCCATATAGACATTAGATCGGTTTTAAATGGAATTAGAAAATCTAGATGTTTCTGGCTATAAAGAGTTGGGAAGGATCGATCGAGTCGGTTGAGCCTATCCCACTCTTCAAAGTAGATAAAGGAAAACTATGCTGGTTGTTGCCACCCTCCCCAAGATAGAGAGGTCACTCTTCCCAAGGCATTCTTTGATTAAAGTACGTACTCCCAACTTCATTTTGATGTTTTCACGTGGTCTACTATAGACACATGTCAAGGATTAGTCCATCAATTATCATGCAATCGTTCAATATCAATATTTGTTAACTGTTTTTCGGTTGGACACCAGAATTGGGCTTCGACTTGAAATAATTGGGTTGGGAGTCGTCACCGACCACTTTAAAACGAATTTAGGTGGATCGGACACCATCTTACATGATCTGCGTTTTTACCAGAAATGTGTCGGGTTCGGGAGTCGGTTACGATTAAGGAAATATTAGCATCCTTGAACCGCTCTTTTGGTACCAATTAAATTTCCGGTTGTCTTAGTTGCGAAAATTCGAAATTAAAATTAAAATTTAACAGACCCGATTCAAATTACTTACAATTGATTGATTTGAAAGCGTACTCTTAGAAAAGTCAACATGTTAGAAAAAAAGGTAATAAAAACTAACAAAATAAAAAAATGATGAAGTGGATAAGATAAAATAAAAGAAAGACAAAGAAAAGAATAATAGTAAATTAAATAAAAATAAAGAAACAAAAAGAAAAGAAAAATAAATAAATAAATAAATAAAAGAAAAGACATAAAAAAATATAAAAAATCCATAAAAGCAAACGAAATAAATAAAATACTAGAAAATAATAGTGTAAATAATATATACATAGTAAATAAATAAATAAATGTAAGAGGGAAAAAATATAAAATTAAATTAAATAAATAAAATAGATATAAGATAAACGAAATGATAATATATATATATATAATAAATAAAAATATAAAAAAATAGTAAATATATATATAAATTAATAAAACAAATAATGAAAATTAACATATATATATGTGTAATCTAAAAAAATATATACATACTAAAGAAAAAAAGAAAATGCATAAAATGTAAAAAAAATATTACATGAAAAAAAGAAAAATAACAAAACAATTAAATAAAATGAGTAACAAGGGAAATGTGCGTATAAATAAAATTAAATAAAAATAATAATAATTAAAACGTAAATGTAAGGGAACGAATCAAAAGTAAAAAAATGCTACTTTTATTTCCTTTTCGAATCGTTTACAATAGCTTTGCCTTTGTATTTTCAGTTTTTTCCTCTGTATTTTGTATGTAAATCCTGTGTTACAAATGGGGAGGATTACATGTATTTATAGTGAAAAAAACTAACTATTTTTAGAATCCTATTAACAATAGAATCCTAATGCAACTAGACTCCTTGCTCGGTTATTGCACGTTTGTTGGTGTGGTTCTTGCTTTACAAGATATGGTGGTGGAAGAGTTCTACTAGGAGAGGAACTCTTACTAGTTATATCTTTTAAGAAAATGGGTGTCTACAGCTGCCCCTTTTTGTCCTTTTTTGTGGAACGAAAAATAGGACAAAGATAAAAAGACACAAATTTTCATTCAGTGGAGTTGAAAAATAACTCCCTGTCGAATTGAATTACGGATGGCTCCTCCGTCGCGAAGTCGAGTCCATCTTGAAATGATTTGAATCAGAATGTGGCTTTTCATTGTAGTCCACTTTGGTCTTTTTCTCGGTTTAAAGACCTTGGCTAAAAATTCGACTGGAAAGTAATCTGTTGACTCTATAATGTGGTTGATATGCCCTCGAGCTGAATGAAACCGAACTCGAAAAGTCTTCGCTGACAGATAGCTTTTTTCGACTTAAGCTATGCTAACGGAAAAAAGGCTTCTTGCTACTGAGGCACGGCTAACCCAGACCTTCTTCTCGGCTTGAAAAACCTCGATTGCAGCCGGACAATAGTGTGATTGAGGTGTCATCGAGCTGAATGGAATCGAACTCGATAATTTTATTGATAGATAACCCTTATTGCCTTGAGCTATGCTATAAATAATGTGCCTTAGAGCTGAGCATAGTCGAACTCGAAGGTCTTTTGGTGATAGATAACCCTTCTAGCCTTGAGTTAGGCTGTAAATGATGTGCCCTTAAAGCTGAGTGTAATCGAACTCGAGGGTTTGGTGTTTCAAGAGAAACATTTTCAAAGGTTTTTTTTTGTGTTTCAAGAGAAACAATTTCAAAGGTTTTTTGTGTTTCAAGAGAAACTGCATTCAAAGATTGAAGTTTCAAGGGAAACTGTCTCAAGAGAGACAAAATTTGTTTCAAGAGAGACAAAAACTTCCAAAAGAAACTGTCTCAAGGGAGACGAGATTTGTTTAACGTAAAACATATTCAAAGATTTTGTTTCAAAGGAAACTGTTTTCAAAGTTTATGCTTCAAGAGAAACTGTCTCAAGGGAGACAAAGTTTTTCAAGGGAAACTATCTCATGAGTGACAAAATTCATTTCAAGGGAAATGTTTATGTTTCAAGAGAACTGTCTCAAGGGAGACAAATTTGTTTCAATGGAACCTATGCAAGAGAGACAAATTCATTTCAGGGAAATGTTTTAATGTTTATGTTTCAAGAGAAACTATCTCAAGAGAGACAAAACTTAGTTCCAAAAGAGAATGTCTCAAGGGATACGAAATTTGTTTCAAGGGAAACATATTCAAAGATTTTGTTTCAAGAGAAACTATCTTAAGAGAGACAAAATTCATTTCAAGGGAAAATGTTTCAATGTTTATGTTTCAAGAGAAACTGTCTCAAGAGAGACGAAACTTAATTCTAAAAGAAAATGTCTCAAGGGAGACAAAATTTGTTTCAAGAGAGACAAAATTTGTTTCAAGAGAAACCATCTTGACTGAAATAAATCTTCTTTCGAGTGAAAATGGTTCCAAGAGAGACAAAACTGGTTTTAAGAAAAACAATCTTGAGTGGAATAAATCTTCTTTCGAGTAAAACAGTCCCAAGTGAGACAAAGTATGCTTTAAGAAAAACAATCACAAGTGAGATAATCATCTGCATTAAATGAGACTGTCTCAAGTGAGATAAAATTTATATTGGAAATGTTGAATATGAAGATGAATGTCGATCTTTCAATCTGTCGAGTTGGCTTTTAATCTCATCTTCTCCTGAAAGATCTACAAAATGCATTTGGATGTAAACTATCATGATGATGGATGTTTGATGTATGCCAAAATGAAATTTATTTGTTGTTGAATTTGTCCTCAAGAGAGGAAAAATCAAGGTTTATATTGCTCATGATGATGAATCCAAAGATGCAAATTTCATACGTCATGTATGTATGTGTTGATTTATATGTTGATATGTGAGGGGAATGGTTGCGTGTGCAGTCTTCATTCTATCTCTGACTCAGTTTGTCTTCATTTCCACCAGGGTGTACTCTTGCATACCTCAACCTAAGACAATTTTTCCTTCCCCTATCAAATTTTGCCCCAAAAATGGCTTCCTTTGCCTCAGTTTCGATCTTGAGCTTCGGAGCGATATTTGTTGAATTCCAAGATATTCTTCCAGAGAACATATCTTGTTTGAAAAATGCTTTTCTTCTTTCGAATTTTCAAAATTTTGAAAAATATCAAAAGGAATTTTGAAAAATACGCCCCCTTCTAGGTTTCACATTGAAGCAAATCATAAATAGGAGTTCATTGGATATCACAAGAATCAAATTATCTTTAAGCTTTGATAGCTGCAATCTTTGACAAATATCAAAATCGAAAAGTTGATTTAGAGGTGGGTTTGTTTCATCGATTTGCTCAGGGCTTGGCCCTCTTTCTTGGTTTGATATTTTAATCGGATGCGACCAAAATGACACAACTAACATAATTAATGGATAGACCTTTCAAAACACTTCTGTTTCAATTCTCTAAAATCTTTCATTTGTTCAAGTTTTGTAAGCTCCTCTAATAAAGGTAGTGCAAAAATATTGGTCTAAAAATGAAATTCTTGAGTGCTCGTGTATTGACTATAACAGGTGTTCCTTAAACTCCTTTAGTCCATTTTCACCGAAACTCCTTATTTAGATTTAATTTGCCATTTTCTGGCCAGTCTAATCCATAAAGCCGGGGCGTTCAACCAATTGCTTTAGAGGGACATCTTAGTATTATAATCACTTTTACCAAGTTTAACTGAAGGGTTCGTCTCATCACAAAGTCTTTGGCCTGACAAAAGCAGTGGAGCAAACACTGAATTGCCAAGTGTCCGAGCAATATCATGGTTTGAATGTAATCTATTTATAAAGCCAGGGCTTTCGAGTTTCCTCTATAACCAATTGCCTTAGTGGAATAACTCATCTTTAGAGGGAAAAATCAATGAAGGGTTCGTCTCATCACAAAGTCTTTAGTCTGACAAAAGCAGTGGAGCAAACACTGAATTGCCAATTGTCCGAGCAATGTCATGGTTTGAATATAATCTATTCATAAAGCCATGGGTTTGAGTTTCTATAACCAATTGCTTAGTGGTATAGCTCAGC